GGAAAGGATTTTCTTGTTTACTTTATGTCATTGTGTGTCTTTTACATACTTATATGTTGTTTATCTTGTTGTCTTTCTTAGTTATACCCCCATAGAATCCTAGTTTTCAAACTTATACCTTTTTTTATTAAAGAAATTCGACCTAGGTCATTGCATTTTCAAACCTTCTTTCTTTAATAAATGCTTCAAAATGCCTAAGCATACAAAACTTTTTTATAAGACTAAAAATACACAACTCACTCAATCATTTTTGCCACTTTGGCTTTTCTTTTAAAAACTTTTCTCAAGAGAATAAACATGAGTCATCTCCATAGTTGAGGTATAATTATCATATCCCCATAGTAATGATTGAAGTAAATGTTGATACTTTTCCACTTGAGGGAGTTAGTGGCATACTTGTTGATTCTATATCCAAGTTGGAGTCCTTCCTTCATGATGATGCAAAGATCCATCTTCTCATACTTGTGGGTTGATTAGTTTAGTATTCTCCTTAAGATGACAAAGTGTCTCTTCATTTAAAATCAACTAAAACAAACTTTTTTTGTTATTTGTACCATGAACTATGGGGTTTTGATCCTTCATTGGTACATAGGCATATGACTTCATGTCTTTCCAAACACAAAAATCTTAAATAGCATTTCTTTTCTCATTTCCCCAATTTTTTTGCAAACAAACCATTTTTAGCCAAATACATATATTTTTAAAAGAGGTTCTTGCGGAGTACCGTAGATGTTTAGGGTGTTAATATCTTCCTTTTGCATAACCAACTCCCGTACCTTAGATCTCTTTATTGCTTTACTAGTTACTTTACTTTTAGTCTTGCTTCTTGCTTTGCATATTTATTTTGGTTTTTATTTACTCTTTTCCCATTCTCTTGGAAATAATAAAGTGCGGTGGCGATCTTCACTTTCTGAGTTAAGTCAATCAATGACTTGATCTCAAGTTTTCGCCGCTACATATGAAATTATTCATTTCATGTGCAAGTCCCTGAAAAAAGTAAGGAGATGTCACCGTCAAGCTTGAGAGAATTCCTTAGATCCTATATGTTATATTTTGGGTTTCCGTCTATCATCATCCAAATCATCATGCATTGTATCACTTCCTCATCTCTATCTATCTTGTGGAATAGTAATAGAATGTTATCTTTCAAACCTGTCCATAGAGTCCATCGAGGTGACTCATAACTCTATTTATGTGTTATTATAGTCAGAAATATTTGAATTCATCACATGTATCTTAGGTGATTAGTGTTAGTTTTATATCTTTTTCATCATCTATGAGTGACTTATAATGGATCACAATATGTGATAGGTATATGTATTTCACTTAGGTTTTAGTATGTGAGATCAGTTCATATGATGAGAAATATCATGAAAGTAATCGACTATTGATTCCTAGCAAACATGAGTGTGAGAAGATGTTGGTTAATTTCGACACCTGAGTAATAACTGAATTAAAGAAGATTCTAGATGTTGAGATAATTGTTGAGCTGGAAAGGAACGAATAATAATAAAAAGATGCAAGAAGAAATGAAATTTGTCACCCCATACTATCATAGTACTACCTCTAAATAAAGAGATATACTTTATTCATGCGATAAAGTTAATGGATAAAATGAAGTTGGCCAAAAGACCAAAAAGTGGAAATATAAATAGAAATAAAACCATAAATTAATGGAGGCTAGGATGGAATCTGTATAAAAAAATGGAAGAGAGAAACCAAGATTAATATCACCATATCAACACCATATCCAGCTTGGTGCATGCTGATATTGAGAGGTGTTACACCAAAGATCACTGCAGTTGGAAGATTGCAAGGAACTGTCGTAGCTCATTAAGTTTATCATTTTTATTCATCCTTGTTTAATGTGTAATCTAATATCTGAATACTTTGTATTTTTTATATGTGTTCACTAAGAGCTAATTCTATTTTATAGGATAATAAGAAATTTCATGAACAAATAATTTTTTTATTGTGATTAATAAATGTGATTTTGTTTCATGTTTAATTCTTGTATTTTATTTCCATGTGTTTAATTATGAGTCTGGTCATCTTAAGATTAAATAGAAATTTATTAAGTTGTGTGTTTAATTATGAGTCTGGCCATCTTAAGATTAAATAGAAATTTATTAAGTTGTGGTAGTAGACATATATTTCTGACTAATCACCTAAGATACATATATTTTTCTTGTTATCCACACTTTATCCATCACCTTTGGCTTTAAGAATTGTTTCCCAACTCACAGCATGATAATTCTTCTTGTTATCCGTATCACCCAAGATGAAATCTCGTTGCAGCTTCTGGATTTCCTTAATACACACTCCTTAGGGAGACGATTAGTCATCATAGGGTAGATGGGAATTGCTTCCATGAAACTTTTAGTTAAAGTTATTCTACCCGTAAAAGAGAGGTTACGGGCTTTCCAGCTGGATAATTTTTTAGCAATCTGCTCCATGACATAATGAAAATCCTGCTTCCTTATAACTTTGCCAGTTAGAGGCACTCCCAAATATTTTCCAAAACTATTAGTCTCCCTAAATCCCAAGATGTTAACTATCTTGTTTTTCAACTTCTTGTCACATTATTAGAAAACAAAATATTAAATTTATCCATGCTAACTTCTTATCTAGACATGCTGCAAAAAACTTTCGGAGTTTGTTTTACACAATGGACCTGTTTCTCTGATGTTTCTCCGAAAACAAGCAAGTCATCTGCAAACATAAAGTGACAAATGCTACAACTATATAATAAGACTCTAAGTGTTTCAAAATTTAAAATATATTTTAATTAATATATTTTTTATATTTAAATATTAACAATTTTTATAAAACAATTTAATGGATGAGTTAGATATAAATCACAACAAAATATTAATGTTAAATTGAATGAATTTTTAATTTTATAGAATAATATTTATGTTATTTTGGTCTCAAGAGCTAACCAAAATTGAAATATGTTTAAAAATTGATATATAATTACAAATTATTCACCAACAGTCAAATTCAATTTTAAACGGACAATATTATTAAATTTTTTAAAAGAAAAATTTATTATTTATTGTGATTTTTCTTGACTCGAATAATTAATCTTTATAATTGTATATAAGATAATTGATCTAGGAGAAAATTTAAATATAATTTTTTTATATATGATTCTTATTATTTTTCAATGAAAATATGATAAATATATAATTTTCGCTTATACATATAGATTTTTCTCCTATTTTTACTCTTTAATTGGTATTTAAGTATATTTATTATATTTTAATTGAAAAATAGTAATAATTGCACCTTATAGGTAAGTTTTCTCCCATCATTCTATATAAAAAATTATTCACCAACAAAATTTGTAGGCAATCTAAAAAGTTGAATTTATACAAAATATGAGATATTTCTTCCATTTCTTTTTAATTGTTATTTTGTGAAAATTTTATGTTTTTTTTTAATTGCCACTTTTAAATTAAAAGTAGTATTTATGATAGTTTTGTCAAAAATATTCCTAATAATTTATTATAGAGAGAGAAAAAATAAATAATAATAATAATAAAAAGTTAATGATATTATAGGTAAAAGAAAAATTATTGCTTAAAAAGTAAACACAATCATTAACTTTATTAGTAGGTATAAAAAGTCAAAAAGTAACGATTAAAAAGAAACCGAGAGAATAACTCTTTATAATCCCAATCATTTAGGCCATGTTTGCTAGTTTGAATAGGAGGAGAAGAAAAGATTTTAGAAAACAAATTTTTAAAAAAATATAAAAAAAATATTTAATATTTTTTGAAAAAATGATTTTGTATAAAAAAATAAAATAATGTTTATTATAACTCTATTTTTAATTTTCTGAATACTATAACAACATAAAAGATATTTACAAAATTTATGTAACCCCTCAAAAACCCTCATTCAATATAAATTTTGAATTTCCCAAATTAATTTTTTTTATATTATAAAAAAACACAAATCTTTCAAAATCCACCCACCAAAATATTCTATTTTTTTATCTAATTCTTCTTATTTTTTTAAACTTTTTTTTTCTTTTTACTTCAATCTCTCAAACAAAGTCTTAATATAATGGATAGAATGATTTTTTGTTAAAGTTATAATAAATGCCTAGCAATAATTGAATTAATTTTTCAAATACAAGAGAGACTTTTTTTGTCTTTATCTATTTAGATTTTAAGAAAAAAGTTACGGTATAATCCAAATTAAAATATGTTATATTTCACAAAAGAAAAAGACTTTTTTCACTGATAATTTCTAAGAGAAAGTTTATAAATCTAGAAAACTCTGCATAAATAAAAAAAAATAAAAAAATCATTCTATTTAAAATTTAAAATCAGATAACTTCAAACTAGACATTACAATGAATTAAAATTTATTAACAACTTTTTTCTTTTACTATATTAACAACTTAAAAGTTAAAATCATGCAATCCTTATCCAACTCTTTGCCTCCCAAATGTGAACATTTCATCAATCCCAAAACAACTCATTTGTTTCTATAACAATTTACCTAAAATAAAAAAATAAAATTTTTAATACAGGTAATTTATTTGTTATTATATTCTCTAATTAACATCTTTAGCTGTACATTTGGATAAAGATAAACTTTTAAATTTCAATTTATATAAAGACAAGTAATAAACAGATAATAACAAGAAGGATTTAGTTAAAAAATAATTAATTCTTTTTAAATATAATAAATTTAGTTACTCCTACCTAATAAGAGTAAAAAAGATGCACTAGGTGCGGAGTGTTGACCAGATAACAGTTTATGACCGAACGTCATATGTGGGCCCCACAATATTCAATCTCGTTTCTCCTTTTTCTCTTCACTCATTTCAGTATATAACCTTAAACTTTGTTCTCATTTTCAACACAACACTCTTGCATGAAACAAAAACAAAAGAACAACCATTGTCTCATCGAAATTCAGACAACTTTTTAAGATTCTTTAAGAATCATCGTCAAAATCAAATTTTATCTGTTAGATTGAAGATGGCTGAAGGTGGTCATCAATTAGCTGACACAACCGAGTTTACGGAATGTTGGCGAAGAACAACGGAATCGCCTTATATCATGCGACTTGCTTTGTCTGCTGGTATTGGTGGTCTTCTTTTTGGTTATGATACAGGTAAGTATTTGAATTTGAAATAATTTATGAAATTTTTGAGAGTTTTTTTTTTTGTGTTGTATCATTGCATGTTGTAATTGGTGAATTTGTTTACGTGTAGGTGTGATTTCTGGTGCTTTGTTGTATATTCGTGATGATTTTGAACAAGTTGATAAGCAAACATGGCTACAGGTGTTTTTTTTTTTTTACTGTACTGGTTTTTGTTAAGTGGGACCAGAATTTTCGGGGTTGTATGAACCATGCAAAAGTCAAGTGGATGAGATCAGAAAGTTTGGTTTTTGACTTTACCAATGGAATATGAAATTGAAATATATGTTGAAATTTGGGTTGTATTGTATTTGTATGATCTGAATCTAACGGCTCAGATCTACCTTTGTCATTGCAGAGAAAGAGAACAAACCTATATGTGTGTTTGTTTTCAACTTTTTCATTTTTGAAGGAGACAAAATTGATTTTGACATAAAATTGTTCTTAAGAAGAATTTGTTTTGTCTTTTAAATTGTTATGATTTGATGATGATATATAAAGTTTTTGCTTTGAAAATTGATTGTTGGTTTCAAATTCATTGTCAGCTCGCTGATACTATATTGAATTTATCTAAATATAAATCACTTTACGTCTGATTCATTTAATTTTTAACGAAAATTAACTCATTCAAAATCAGTTTGCGTACTAGTAGAATTACACACCGAGTTGAGGCTCTTATGTATTTCAAGGGAATTGAATAAGTTTGCATGCTCTAGATCTTCACTTGACATCGCAATTTGTGATTCTACTTGTCGCATGGAACCTAAGTCCAATTTCAAGATGGTTGTTGACATGATTGTTTTGTTATGCAGGAAACGATTGTTAGTATGGCTGTAGCAGGAGCCATTGTTGGCGCTGCATTTGGAGGATATATGAATGACAAGATGGGGAGGAAGAAAACTATCTTAATGGCTGATGTAGTGTTCATGTTAGGTGCAATAGTTATGGCTATTGCTCCTGCTCCTTGGGTTATCATTGTTGGAAGAGTTTTAGTTGGTTTAGGAGTTGGTGTTGCATCCATGACTTCTCCTCTATATATCTCTGAAGCTTCCCCTGCTAAGATTCGAGGAGCATTGGTTAGCACCAATGGTTTACTTATAACCGGTGGTCAATTTCTCTCGTACCTCATCAATTTGGCGTTTACCAAGGTATGTTCTATGTTCGATTGAAGTTCATTCATAACATAACACTTAAATGAGATTTTTTGTTTTTACATCTTATCGATTTCATTTGTTTTAGGCCCCGGGAACTTGGCGTTGGATGCTTGGAGTTGCAGCGGTTCCCGCTGTGGTACAATTTGTATTGATGTTGTCCCTCCCTGAGTCACCTAGATGGCTCTACAGACAGGTAATCCTAATTATCATAATGGCCATTGATGTCAATTTCAGATCACGGAAAATAGTAATTTGACAACATTTTGAACTAAATAGCGACACCGATCATGTTATGTAAAATTTTCTCAACCAATGCCAACGAAGAATTACAACGAATCTCTTAAATTATTGTTTATTTTCCTCCAGGGCAAGGAAGATGAAACAAGGGTTATTCTGTCGAAAATCTACCGCCCTGATGAAGTTGAAGAGGAGATGAAAGCCATGCATCATTCCATTGAATCTGAGAAGGCAGAAGAAGGCTTAATTGGCCATAGTCTTGGACAAAAACTAAAAAGTGTTTGGTCTAACGACGTAGTACGAAGAGGGCTTTACGCTGGTATCACCGTCCAAGTTGTTCAGCAATTTGTCGGTATTAATACAGTTATGTATTACAGCCCAACCATAGTTCAGTTTGCTGGAATCGCCTCCAACTCCACCGCACTTGCACTTTCATTGGTTACTTCTGGTCTTAATGCCGTCGGAACTATATTGAGCATGGTTTTAATTGATAGATTTGGAAGGAGAAAGTTGATGTTAATCTCCTTGATTGGTATCTTTGCTTCACTTGTAGTATTAAGTGTTACATTCAACCAAGCAGCTCACCATGCACCTGCAATCAATAAACTGGATTCCCTTAGCTTTGGCGGGAACTCTACATGCAAGGCTTACACATCTGCCCCGAATCTCTCTTCGTGGAACTGTATGCAATGTTTGCATGAAGAATGTGGCTTTTGTGCCAATAGCAAGAATGAGGTAAGTTCTACTACATTCCTCTACATTTGTTTTCTTTTAAACTTAATAAGAAGTTTAGGTGAGTCGGGGACTCTGAGGCTCACTAGAGTCAGAGCAGACCTCAAGAGACTAATGACGTTGACTCATATTAAGCAAGTGTTAATAATGTGATTACTCTATGTCATACAGTTTCTTCCGGGAGCATGCTTGGCAGGAGAAAAGATTGTGAAAGGCATGTGTCGGGAACAAAAGCGAGTATGGTTTTCACAGGGTTGTCCAAGCAAAATTGGATTCCTTGCAGTTATAATCCTCGGAGTCTACATCTTAGCATATGCACCTGGAATTGGAACAGTGCCTTGGGTTCTAAACTCGGAGATTTATCCGTTGAGGTTCAGAGGACTAGGAGGAGGCATAGCAGCAGTTTTCAACTGGTGTGCTAATCTAATCGTGAGTCAATCCTTCTTAAGCATGATAAAGGCTCTAGGAACTTCCGGAACATTCCTCCTCTTTGCAGGGTTCTCCTTGATTGGCTTTGTAGCAATCTTTTTGTTAGTGCCTGAAACCAAAGGCCTTCAGTTTGAGGAGGTTGAGAAACTGCTTCAGAAAGGCTTTAGACCTTTCCCATTTAACAGCAAAAAAGAAGATGTCAAAGGGAAAGGGAAGGAGGAAATGAATGACATGCCTTGATTGTTACAGACTCTTTGTTGAAGATAAAAGAAAAGGCTATGTGGTCTTGTGCTATTTTATGGCAAAACTAGTCAATAACATTGTGCCATTGTGTGTGGATTGACTGTGGAAATGCTATAATAAACATCAACTATGTATAAATGATTTCCATTTCCATGAAAGTTGATTAGTATGAGAATAAATGAGTTTATTTTCTATACGAGTGTGGAAATATTTTACAGATTGTATCTAAATCAAATGATATATTGTCACATTATTTAACATGGTATGAGTATTTTTGTGCTTCTAAACTCTGAATGATAATGCAACACCACCAATGCATCATTTCATTGCATACATGTACCAAATACTTTGGTTAAAGTATATTTTAGTTAATAGTAAACTCCTTAGGTGTGTACTCCCTCCAGTTCTTATTTGACTTTATATGAGACCTATACAAGCAATCTTGTCAGCAAAAGTATTACTTTCCCTATAGATATGAGAGATCATGAAAGTCATGGATTTTGTATGCTCAATACAGTTCAACCATCTAGATTTCAGCATCCAAGGCCCTTTCATGGTTGCAGCAGAAAGAACATTCCTCTACATCTGAGAGTGTCATCTGTTGGTAACTTGTTGTACAAGACTCCATATAAGAACATTATCTGTTGGTAACTTGTTGTACAAGATTCCATATAAGAACATAGTCTGATGGAGGGATGCAAGGATCCCAAATGAGCTTGGACCAGATGGTAGGGTGGTTAGACTTTGCATAACAGTAGTATGCAGCTTTGAGGCCTAGAATACTAGTATTCAAGGGCCCCCAACATCTTTGATCTTCTATCTCAACAACATAAATGTGGCAGTTCTGAGTAAGATTGGAAATTTTAGGATATGCTAAAAGAAGGTTCTCAGGGAACTTCCATCTATAATTGCAAATGAAGTTAGAAACTTTTGAGAGGAAAGTTGACTGGTTGATGAGAGGGATGTTAAGGATTTGAGAAATTGGTTGGCCACACTAATTATCCAACTAGAAGTTAATTTTCGAATCTGGATCGTCTCCAGTTTATTTGCCACTGCTGCCCATTCTGCTCCTATCATAACCACACATCTACATTTTGTTCTCTTTTCAAAACAAAATGTTTTTATTTAATTATTTTTAAATACTTTTGAGCCATTGGATGAAGGGCAGTAGAAATGGTTGAAGAGACAGGCAGTAGAGGATCTGTTTTCTTAATTTTCTTACCGTTACCAAGAATCCAAGCAGAATTGGTTATAACATTAGATTTTCTTACCATTACCAAGAATCCAAGTAGAATTGGTTATAACATTAGAAAGTGAATTATTGATACTACTCCATATAGAGGATCAAATGTGGTGCCTAATAGGTCTATCATGCCTCATGACCCTTTAAGGACAAAACCTTGGCCCAACCATCATTTGAATTATGCAAATCCTAGCAGAGATTGTGTTATGAAGAAAGATAGGCCCATGAGAGAGAAAAGAAGATCAGTTCTTTTAAAAGATTATGTTTAAAGATATTAGGTGTAATTAGCAATTTTTATGTTATCTTTTGGACTTTTGTGTTAGTAGTTGATTGACCCATGGCCCATTCTGTTTGTAAACCTCACTATATAAGTTACAATTGTGCTCTTGTTGAAGTAAGAAGAAAAGTTGTTTTATCTTATTGTCCTCTTATACATTTTTAGATCTTAGGTTAACTTAGTATAATCTATCATTGGTGCTTTCATTCCCTTGAATTCATGGCTCCCCCAAAACCTACAAACCCTTCTTCCAAAGAGATTGTGGAAGAAGTTGTTCATATTGCTCAGCTCAATTTGAATAGTGTCATGCAAGAGCAACAACAACAGTTGGATGAAAGGTTCAACGTAGCAGTCTCAGATCTCATGCAGCAGGTCGAAGAAATTCATTCGCGTTTTGACAAAGAGAAACACATTGTAGATTCTCGTTACGAATCGCTCATGACGATTCTCCACCAGCTCGTTATGCAACGAGACAACCAGCAAGCTACCTCCAGCATTTCCGTCGAATAATCTTTAAGTATTACCCGGACACCTCCTTCATCCTCTATGCTTAACCCACCTGTCACCATCGTTTCAACCCAGCTTCACACTTCCTTACAAAAAGCAACCACATACACTTTTTCCCCACCCACACTACCGTCACCATCCCACCATTAATCACATCAGTTCCACCACCACCACCGTTTCCACCATACCCACATGGCCAGCATCCCCAAGCCGCATTTATGCAAAATCAGATTAACCCTCCCCAATTTAACCAGCAGATTCCTTACCATCGGCTCACACAAAATCTCCCTTTACCCCCTTTTAGAACCCCAAAACTTGAGCTAGCAATTTTTGATGGATCGAACCTGTTAGAATGACTCTTCCAAGCAGAGCAGTTTTTGGGTTTTACAATTTACCATCCGAAAATCGTTTATCATTAATTTCTTTCGACATGAAAGGAGACGCTTTATGCTGGTTTAAATGGATGTCTCAAAACCAGTTTTTAACTGATTGGTTTGCTTTTACGAAAGCCTTGGAGATACGATTTAGTCCTTCTACTTTTGAAAATCACCAAGCTGAACTTTTTAAGCTCAAACAGACGGGATCAGTGGTGGAATATCAAACTAAATTCGAGCAATTAGGAAACGTGGTTGTTGGGTTGCCACAAGAAGCAATTCTAAACTGTTTTATTTCAGGCCTCCAACTAGAAATTCAAAATGAAATTGATATTCATCGTCCTACCTCTATTTCACAAGCCATAGGCATTGCCAAGCTTATTGAGTCCAACATTAAAGATTCAAAATCCAAAATGTCCAAAACGTTCACCACAAATTACCATAAACCTTCCACGGCCTTTCCCAACATAAACACCTACAAACCAACACCCCAGATTTCCCAAGCTACAACCCAACAGACTACTGCCCCACCTGTGACTAAGTTCCCCATTCGCTGTCTCACCCAATCGCAATTGCAAGAAAGAAGAGCTCAAGGCTTATGTTTTAATTGTGATGAAAAGTTTGTCATAGGTCACAAGTGTACTACTAACAGATTTCTCATCTTATTAGAAGATGATAATGCGGTAGACGATCAACTCGATATTCCGGGTGCTATTAAACCACCTAGTGAACCAGACATCAATGACACTTATTTCCAGCTCTCTCCTCAAGCCTTGACGGGTTAATTCTTGCCACAAACTTTGAAATTTAAAGGGTCCATTGGAGGTCTAACTGTTATGGTTCTCGTTAACACGGGCAGTACACATAACATCATGCAACCGCGAATTTCTCATCACCTCAATCTCAAGACCATTCCAATTAGTCAGTTTTCGATAATGGTGGGGAATGGCTCTCATTTACAATGCGAAGGAGTATGTAACAATGTTCAAATCCTACTGCAGAATAAGCCTTTTACTTTGTCGTTCTATTTACTCCCAATTGAAGGCGCATATATAGTTCTAGGCATGGCTTGGTTAAGAACCTTGGGTCCCATCCAAGCTGATTTTTCAATTCTTTCCCTTACTTTTCAGCATCAAAACAAACCTATGACTTTGACAGGTGACCCTAAATCTCACCCTATTCATTCTACTTTCCATCAATTGTGTCAGCTTATTCATACTGATGTCGTGGCGTCTTTTCATCTTCTGATCATGGAACCCTTACATATTTCCCCCACACCTCATGACTTAACCATCTCACCCATAGCCACTTCACATTCACCTTTTCCACCTCAACTCTCTCACCTTTTAACACAATACCAATCCATCTTTCAAATCCCCCGTGACCTTCCCCCTCCTAGACCTCATGATCACCATATCCCAATTTTACCAAATACACCTCCCATCAATGTAAAACCTTACAGATACCCCTATTCGAAGAAAGAGGCTATGACCACAATTATTCAGGAAATGTTGAGGAGGGTATTATTACCCTTATTCATAACCCTTTTTATTCACCCGTGTTACTTGTAAAAAAAGGATGGCACATGGAGGTTTTGCGTTGATTACTGTGCCCCTTAATGCAATTACTATTAAAGACATATTTCCTATTCCAACTATCGGTGAGTTACTAGATGAGATGGGTTCAGCCACCATCTTTACCAAGATAGATTTATGCTCTGGGTACTACCATATCAGCGTTGCATCAAAGGATACATATAAAATGGCTTTTTGAACTTTTGACGGACACTATGAATTCCTAGTTATGCCTTTCGGTTTAATAAATGGACCTTCTACTTTTCAATCTCCGATGAATGATTTGCTAAGGCCTTACTTAAGATGTTTTGTGTTGGTCTTTTTGACAACATTTTAATTTATAGTGCTACTTTTAGTGATCATCTAACCCATTTGCAGGTTTTTATTTATTTATTAAAGGCCCAAAATTTTTATGTGAAGTTATCCAAGTGTGTGTTTGTAGTGCCTCAGATTGATTACTTAGGGCATGTTATTTCAACAGGGGGTGTTTCCCATGATTCAGACAAAATCAAAGCCATTTTGGATTGGCCTCCTCCAAGATCTCTCACGACACTCCGCGGATTCCTAGGCCTTACTGGATTTTACGGTCGTTTTGTTAAAGATTACGCCACTTTCGTCGCTCCTCTCACCGATTTGTTAAGTTATACTAGTTTTACATGGAGTACACAGGTTGTTGCAGCCTTTACTAAATTAAAGAAAAAAATGGACATTGTGTCGGTCTTAACCTTCCCCGATTTTACAAAACCCTTTATTATTGAAACAGGTGCTTCAAGTGGCGCCATCAGTGTTGTTCTGTCTCAAGAAGGTCATCCTATTGCTTTCTTCAGTAAGAAGATGTGTCAGAGAATGCAGGCTTCATCCATGTATGTCCGCGAAATGTTTTCCATCACCAAATCTGTAAAAAAATGGCGTCAATATCTAATCAGGCAAAAGTTTTATATCTATACAGATCAAAAAAGCTTGAGAAATTTGTTGCTTCGACGGATTCAAACTCCTGAGCAACAACAATGGACATCTAAACT